AATTTGCTTTGCTGTCTCTTCCTCCACAAACAAAATGCTCTTAACGATTCATGTTAAACTCTCAGGGATGTTCTCTTCTGAAACTTCAGGCTCAGTGAAGTGAGGAGGAGACGTTTCGTGCTCTTCAGCGACGGCTGCGATGTAAAAAACAAACTTTGGGTTCAAAATGCAAACACTTTTACCTGGTGGAGACGGCGTTACGTGTGTGAGTGAGGTGAGGGAGGGCTGAGGTGAGGGATGCTCCCCCATCTGAAGGGAGAAGAGGGTTGACCTTAGGTGGGGGATCAAGGTCGAGCAGGCCGTTAGTAAAGGCGCCGGGAGGCTGCGTGAGAAGGGGATGAGGGAGAAGGTCGGAGGTCAGTGTCTACAGCGCCTCTACATTAGCCAAACTGCACAGCGACTATAGAAGTGCAGAGAAGTCCAAAGCCCCGTGGTTAAAACAACTTCTTAAACATTTTTAACATCTCACAGCCAAACCTGGAAAAAAACAAAAACAGGTGAACTTTTAAAAAGTGAGGCTGATAAACTCACAGCGGTTGTGGGGACGATCCAGCGCGGTGTGATGAGAGGTTTGGTCGGCTGCACCGGTGGGAGCTACAACAACGTCAGAAGAATGTTAGCATCCATGCTAAAGGTCTACTTTAACCCACACACATGCAGTGGGAGTTTCACTGCAGATTATTCAGGACACAGTGCAGTAATTCTTACCACAGGAGTTGGATCAGTGAAGTCAATAAGGTTGTCAGAAAGTGGGGCGGCGCTTTGCAGGTCGACCTCCTCTGTTTTAACCTGCAGCGTGATGCAAACACTCTTTATTACCACACGCAGGCACTAAAGAAACCGTCTACTTCCTGTGTTAGTCACACGCAAACACCGGGCTGCGTAGGCACAGATTGAAGGGTAAATAAACTCTACTCACGCAAAGTGTTTTATTCATACATTCACAATCAGATGAATGCATCTCAGAACAACTCGGTTCAGTTTCTTGCTCAAGGATACTTTGGCATGCAGACTGGAGCAGTCCGGGATCAAGTGGACGACCTGCTATTGTTACCAATTACATCACACTGAAGACTGAACCTACTTTTACAGAGTAATCAATACGCACTCACAACCCACCTCACCTGCTTGTTAATGAAAATATCTAATGAGCCAATCAGATGGCAGCAACTTTATGCATTTGGGCATGTAGATGAGAAAGACGACCTGCTGAGGTTCAAAACAAGCATCGGGAGGGGCCAGAAGGTGATGTAAGTGACTCTGAACGTAGCGTGGTTGCTGAGGTTGTCGTCTGAGTATTTCAGAAACTGCTGACATTTTTCCCACACAGCCATTTGCAGGGTTTATGCAGAAGAGCGTCTCTGAACACAGCAGATTAAAGCCTGAAGCAGAATGGGGTGCCATGCTAGTCAGCTAAGAACAGCAAACTCAGGCTACATATGCTAAATGTAGCTGCCTGGTCTGGCAGGTTTCCATTTATGATATTTAGATGCTAGGATCAGAAGTTGGTGCATCCAACACGTTCAGGCTGTTGGTTGTGTGATGGTGGTGGGGGCTGCTGACCGCGTCCATCCCCACATGACCACAGCGTGTCAGCAGGACAACGCACAACACCACAAAAGTTTCAGACTGACTTCATAAACCTGATGACGAGTTCACTGCACTCAAATCCCCCAGTCTGATACTAGCAGGCTGTGCCTAAAGAAGTGGCTGGTGAGTGTAAAGCACAACAGTAGTAGCACAACCTGTGAGCGTGCAGTCACGTTACCTTTGGTGCCGGGGCTTCACTGGTCGACTCGGAGCACTTTTTGGAAACAGAAGGTTTTAAATCTTCAGCCAACCTCTCAGCGCTGGAAACAGGAGAAGAAATGGTATCACACAAGCATGTGACCCTATAATTTTAACAACTTTTAACACTGTGAGTCACCAAAACCACCAAAGACAGTTTCACCACTTTTAAACTCAAATGTTAAGAGCACAAACCCACACAGCACAGCTAACTGTGCGTTTGCTTTTATGAGTCACTCTCTGCAGAGACGGCAGCAGTATCCAGGCAGAACTCAAGTCATGTGATTTAACACACCCGGGCCGACACACAGACACACACATGAACGAATGCATTACTCAAACACACCAGCAGATGTCAGCAAAGACTATAAGGACTTTAATCAGCCGCATTAATGTTTCACTGCCTGTTTGGCTGATGCAGGACTTTGCATTTATCTCTGTTAACATTATTTTAAACCATTTGATCTACATGTGTAACATGTTTTGTGTTAAGCTTACCGTAACACATTCTTGAAAACAAATCACCTTTTGCTAACTATGAAAAATCAAACTCTTTACCTTAACTTCATTCAACCTACAAAACCAGGACACTTTGTCACTGGTCTTTGTCAAGGCTTTAACTATAACGTGTGAGAGATCTGATGCAAAGAAGTACAAACCACAGTAATGTTTTGCTTTTCTAAACAAAGGCTCACCTGGCGCCTGCAGATGAGACCAGGGAGGATGGTGGCTTCAGCAGGTCCCAGGTGTCCTGGACGTCAGGGCGGCTGCTAACACAAAGAGACGAGTTACTGCCCATTCGCCCAGAACGCACCTTCAACCTGGCAGAGAGACACACATAACGCTTATTCCTGCATAAAACATTCACTGTGGTTACCACAGAAAGACAGGAGGTCAAACTTCTCCGACTACATGAGTAAAAATTACTTTTAAACAGGTTTCATTATTATGAGTTTCAGTAGAAATGCTTTTACAACAACATGCAAACGGGAAACATTTGCTAAAACTGTCAACAACAGAATCTGCCAAATCCAACGTTGTTTATTCTCCAGCGTGAGTCGCTCGCTGCTTCGGCTACGAGCCGGGGTCGTGGACTCGTTTGTCATTCTGTGGAGCGCTGCCGAGCTGGGGCTGACGTAACGTTGTGAGCTATGCTAATAATCCTTATAAATATTCAAGAGGTTAATCAGCTCGAGCAGCAGCGGGCGCTGTGATTGGCTGGGATGAAGCACTGACAGTTGGCATGACTCAGTAAGATGAAGGGACGAAGGCCGAGTTTCAAGACAATGCGGCGCGGTGACAGCGTGACCTGTGCTGATAGCACGGTGCGCTCTGAAGAGCTGCTTAATGCAAAGATCCTAAAGGGTTAAATAACAGACTGAGTGGAAAAATGATTCTATTTTCTTTGATTCTGAAGCTGAACATAAGAAGTTATCATATTCCTGAAAGTGCAGGTGAGTGAAAACGTACCTCGCAGAAGCCTCCTGCAGGTTACAGTTTTTATCTCCGAGCATCACAGCGTGTTCCTCCAAAGCCCCCTGCAGACAGCAAACAGGCGTTTATGAGGAGAGGCATTCACACACGAGTCAAAATGTCACTTTAGCTGTTTTGATTTAAATGTGTTTAAAAACAAAAGGCTACAAAATACTGAAGGCTTAGCTAAAGACTGCTCAGCTGAGTCAGAGGCTTTCACTCTGACGGATAAACAGAATCAGAGTACATCGGAGGGCTCTCTCCTCCATCTCCTCCCCCTCTTTGTCTGCTTTGTCACCCCCCGGTCTGTTGCGCACCTTGAGAGCGGCCGCCTCGGCTTGAGCCTTCAGGATGTTACTCTTCAGATCCTCCGGGGTGCGCAGCGGAGTCACACATGGACTGCTGCCCGCACTGTTCAGCCCGCACTTCTCTGTGAGCTTCACCACATCGTCCTGTTGGGTCAGATGTCACAGAGGCTTCGTCACGCTGTGCCGCACATGTGTTTGTTTATGCTGAACTGCCAGTGAACTACACAGAAGTGCTGCTGGTCTCCATCAAAGCAAGCAGAGTCTGATTTTAGAGGAAATAACACAAACACTCGCCTGGTTGTTCATGGCCACGTTGACGTTCATGTTATTTCTCGGCGCAGCGAGAAGCGGACTGCTCTCCAACTCCAGCTGCTTCAGACGAGCTGCTGCTTCTGAGTCGCCGCACATGAACACAGAAAGACAAACAAACAGAGTTATCTTCGCTTTATTTATATAGTTAGCAAGTGATCGTCTCGTCTCAGGACACTGATGTTTATTAACAGTCAGCTCTGGGTCTTTTTCATAACGGTGTTGGCTGAGTGTAACTATTGCTGGCATTAACAGAAAAATATAAGTGAATCAACGGTCAGTAAGGTCGCACCAGGTGGCAGCCGTCACGGTGAAAAATGAGGCCAAAGAGTCAAAAACTGCAGTTATGTCAGTCTTTTAAAACAGACATTTATTGTTTTACAGCAGTTTTCTTTAAAGCCTGGCTTCTAAGGCAAGTTTTTAAATATTGGCCAGTTCGCTGCAGCCTTACCAGCGAGACTCAGCGCATCTTCTGCAGGGACGCTAGCACCGGCATAGGCAGCGGCTTGTACGGGCTCCTCGATAGCTGTGACTGCAGGGACAACAGGAGCTCTGAGGACATCGTCGATGCACGTCTCCATTAGGTCAGCAACCACTGGCAAACTAGAGACATACAAGAAGAGAAAGCATGGCAGATTCAGCCATTTCAGCCTGAGTTGTGGATGGAAGGGTTAATGATAAATACATTTAAAGAGAAAACAGAATAGAGGCTGTTTTATGGGTTTTTAACACAAACTGGAAGAAAAGGATTGTGATTCATACAGCTTACCTCGACAACGTATGTACGGACTCTGCAGTGATGACAGAACTGATCCAAAGCAGAAGGTGTTTAAGAGTAACACACCAACATACAATAATATGTCAAATAATTATTACTAAAACCAAAAGAAAAACATAAAGAATATACTTGTAATCCATAGTCTTTAACCGTTAGCATCATCACCAACGTTAACTTAAAGGGTCACGTTGCCGACATGTGATAAAACGATTGTATTTTACAACATAAGTATGAAACCACGTTTGAGTCCACTCAAGGGAAAAATGCAAAAATGTCTCCAGAGGTAAAAACACTGCCCACAAAATAACTTTAGCAGAAAATAATGCGGTGTAATATTCTCAGAATTAGACGTGCTTGAAGCAGAACATTTGACACACGGATTTTAGCAGAAGCTCTTCCAGCAGCTCGGTAATTACCTCATATTTCTGTAGCCTGAAGACACAGCAAAACATAACAAATGTTGTATATTACAACATACTGCCTGGAGAGTACAGGGGTTAAAGAACAACACACAAAAAGATGTGAAGAAATGTGCGATTCTTTGTACGTGGGCTCAAAAATCCAATAAATATGTTAAAAGATCCACCGTGAGGAGAATCGAGCCGTCGCGTGGGAATAAGACACAAAAGAAAGTATGACAGATGCATGTACCACAGAGGAGACGCACACCGACTGGAACTACCGGCAACCGGTTACTCCCTAGTCTTTATTCAGTCCTCCACAACGGGAGCAGCGTTTTTAAATATCTGTTTGCACACGTTTATCCGATACAAGATCAAAGAAAAATCCTACATCGTAATCCAGTAACCCGGTACGACTCACATATGTCGACATAATTATACAATCACCAGGATTTGACTGAATATTACAGTGTGACAAATGGAAAAGTATCAAACTGGGCCGAAGACTTACGATGAGCATCTTTTTGGGTGATGATAAGTTGATTTGTTCCAAACCGAAAACACAAACTTTATCACATTACAGAGAATAAAATATTCTTTGCACTATATTCTAAAGCAAAGGTGAGAACTTAAATGTACGACTTACTTCCAATGTGTATTTATTAGCTTTTTTAAATTGGCTTAAAACAATTGAACATAGAATGACGTGTTGAATAAAATATTTCTAACAAACATCCAAAGTTGGAGCCTTTTCTGATTTCATCATTTCAAAATAAGACTGATCTGAAATACAACTAACTGTATTTAAAACTATCCTGCTTTGATTTAAAATCGAACAGTTTCTGTAGACAAACGCTTTGGTCATGTTGTAAACAATTAACTACGTAATATTACATATTTATCTTCATTTGGTTGAGATGTGCAATAAACAGTGTAATTACCATGTAAGATCAGTGCATTTGAATCATTTACGTGATTATTCAGCATTTAACTGTGGCATGCTCGCAGGTAGACGTTACTGTACTGCAGCTCGATCTCTTGCTAGAAGTCGAATGGGGAGGCAGCATCAGGTTCATTTCAGAAGCTTTCACAGAAGCTCAACATAAAATATGATTAGACAACAATCAAACCTTCAAACAGAATTTAACTAATCCAGACATTATTTGGAAATAGACATGGTGAACCGTTAGCTTCATTTTTCACCTACAGCTAAAACCCTTTCAGACTAATCTGCCTACAGATGGACGACACCCACCCTCTTATCCAACTCCCTTTTAAACAGAGCAGTAGAAATGCAAGAACAGATTCACTTTAAAAAAAAAAAAAAAAATCTAATTTCATTTATAAAAATGTTTAACTGAATTTAAACACAGCAGTAGTGTGTGAAATATTACAAACACAGGAAATTGTTTCTGAGACTGAGGGGGGGAAAGGAGCAGAAGAGGACCGGCCTAAATCCCCCAGAACCTCTGTGACCTGCTGTTTCCTCACAGAGTCAAGACTGGAATTGAATTCATAAAACTGAGCCTGATACCATCTCACCCCGGCCTGCCAGCCTCCCCCCTGAGGTTTGGCATGAAGGTCAGGAGGAGGGAAAAAAAAGAGGGGGGAGGAGGACAGAAATGAGAGGCCAAGGAAGCAGAGGGAAAGGAGCAATGGGAAGTTATCTTTCCAAAACTGTCACTGAGCCAAAGGTCAAGGAGCAGAGGCATGAGGTGCAGAGATGGACTGAAGGGAAAGGAGGAATGTGGGTAGTGTTAGACTTCTGCTGAGGAACGCTTCACTTAATCACAAATCTGTACATTCGCACTAGGCGAGGCGAGTCACTTCACTGCTGAGCCTTTCCCATTCATTAGCGTGCAGACCAGTTCGCGCCGGTACAGCTGGTGAGACGGCGGCCAGCTGGTCGGATCTGTCCCACTCCGTTTGGGGAACCTTGATGAAAAAGAGCGGGGAGGATGGAGGGAAGAGGACACCTGAGGAGAACAGGTTGGCAGTGAAAGAGTGACAAAGGGAAGGTGATGAGGTAGTGAAGATACAGGGTGTGTGAGGTAAAGAGTGAGACTGGGAGGAAAGCAATTATTGTGCAGAAGAAGAAGATTGTTAAAAGAAAAGAAAGGGAATAAAGAAGGCAGCAGGAGGCTGATAACATGAACGAAGGAGAGTGTGTAATAACTGTGACAAGTTGTGTAAATATGTTACCATTTATTCAGTGACAAAAACAGCTGCTCTGATGGGCATAAATCATTCTGAGTAAATGAATAAGACGCAGGTTTGCGTGACGAGCTCTGCAGTGTCAGGAGTATGCCATCCAGCTTATAGCAACACGTCTGCCAGTGTGCACTAAAGTGTGGTGTGACATATGCTGTCACATAAACACTTAAGTGAAGTGACTGGATGTCTCTGGGGCATCGGTGACCCTGCTTTGCACCTCTAGGGGCTGATGTTTGATAGCTCATGTCAAATCCCTGTTTATACTGTTTATATATTCCTGAGCAGAAGCTTTTATCCACGACGGCTCTCCTGGGAGTTTGGGTCCAAACTGGGACTGACTTGATGGTACGGGATGATAAGTGGGTGAACTTCCAATGACCTTTAGGTTTTGCGTGCAGTGTTTAGCAACAGAGATTTGATTTGTATTTGTCATTTTATGTTTTTTAAATTGTCACATTGTTTCCAAAGGGACTGAGCAGAGACCGACCCACTAACACTTACGATAACGTTCAGAGAAGTAAAACAGCTTACAGGACTGAATAAGGGTCAGGGAGGGGGCAACCTTTAAAGACACAGCATGGCAGTATGGGACACTGATGATGTCACCGTGGGCTCATTAACGCCTTTTTTTTAAATGTTTGTAGAAATTTCAGTCGTTATTTTTAAATTAGTATTTCTCACATTTTAATTTCACCTGAAATACTCCCCAATGGTTCCACTCTCACCATAACATCAAGGCTTTTCTAATCTGCTGCCACTGATGATTAGTCTTATTTATTTTATATACATTTTACAGAGATGATCATAGCGTATGTATGCATGTTAATGAATCTGGATGACACCATACAAACTGCCCAAGATATCACAACTGTCAGCATCTATTAAGCATTTGGGGATTTTTATAACACTCAACACATATTATTTGTAAGGATTCATGTGTTTTTATGCTGAACGTTGATGTTATGTGTGCGTTGTTGTTCTGAATAAATTTGGTTTTAGAAGTTCTGCCTGTTATATATAATCTAGACTATAATGTTTGTATCACAGTTTAAAATCAGGGTTATAGGTATCAACTTATTTCTCTGTTGACTGTTCATGTTATCAGGCGGGTTAATGGGGGGTGGGGGGTTGGGGTCCATGCAAAAAAACCCAAAAACCCCGTTGATTTCAAAGCGAGAGAGAAAGCAGAGCTGGAGAGGAGAAAGGAAAGAGCACGGGGGATTAGTCGAAAGCATTAGTGATGTAACAATGTCACTGTCAAAGCATCCTCCTCGTGTCAACTCAGTCGGTTATAAACAGACTGAGGTCATCTCGGTGTAAGATCTTATGCTGATGAAACATTTTTAATGAACGCAGAAGTCCCTGAAGGCTCGACAGCATCGCCTCAAGAACACAGTATCGCTGGCCCGTACGTGTCGCTGAAACAACATCAGACGTAAACTTAATCTTTCCTAAAAGCTCTAAAACTACTGGAGGCAGTCTGTGCTCTACCTCAGCCCCTCAGTACAGGGGCTTACAGTATCAATGTCACAATCCTACGTCGCCTCATTCTCGAGTTACCACATTCACAAACTTGGGCGTCCACGCCGCCCGGCCAGTGGGTGACGCCAATACCCGATCAGCCTTTTATGGCTGAGGGGTAAAAACAGGAATGCTGAGAATTTTATGAAAAATCGAGTGAATGAATAAATGATTACATAAACTCATTTCAGGTATTTGCAGTCTGCAGACTGAGGCCATGTAAATGCTTTGGCCTGATTTAAGATTGTCTTATGTCAATTTAAAGGACAATTAGGTTTTTTTCCCTACTGGGGATCATTTACCGTAATGGTAAACTAATTGGTAAACTGCTCTGAATCTCTTTAGCCGAGGGTACAAATGACTCATTAAGCCACATTCACAAGAACACCCCACACTGACGTGAGCCAGGATTATTGTTTAAGTCTAAAAACAAAAATGAGCCAGTGCACCACAGACGTGACAGGAAGCCCGGTTTTTATTGCTGAGCAGAAATGGTTTCAGCCTGAGCTGCTAAATCCAAACAGCGCATGAATGTTTCTGACCCGAACGCGGGTCAGAAACAGTCACGTTTATGCTGAAAAATCCTCGTATAAAAGCCGAGGTCTCTTCTGGGGATACAATATGATATATCTGACAGATCATCTGTAAATAAACACCGATTCACGCACAGCTGTGGTTCTGATACTTTCCTTAAAGTTTTCCAGTATGAGGTTGGTGGTTCACAGGATGCTCAGAATGACATCAGAAGAAAAAAGCAAGGATACCTACACACTACAAAGCACCAACAGTATCAAAGAGAATAGATCCAAAGCTGAAATCACATCGCCGATTCCCGCACAGCAGCCAAATCACAACACCATTCCCAGCATCGATTTGCTGCATTCCATGCTGATCAAAAGGGAACAAACAGCAAAATGCGGCAAATTGCTGTCTGTTCGGTGCAAGAAAACCCATTTCCAAAGCCGCAGTCTCAAAGCCAATAGTGCACAGCAAATGATTGGTTAAAGCGAGAGCATGTTCAGTCTGACTGTACCTACCAGTGTGCTGCCAGACAATTATCCTCAGTACATAATCATACTGGAACACACAAGGAAACACGGGAGGTTTATAACAAAGCTGGATACATTCATGCAAATGCACATTTGTGTTCAGTCACACACACACACACACACACACACACGCACAAAATAAACCCATAAATAACAGATCAAGTCACAAAAAAAAAGCCTGAAATTATTTACACATCACTCAGAGGCTGAATGACGGGATTAAAAAAATACAGTAGAAAGATAAAAACTGTGATCATCCACGTCCTGCTGCCTGTCCACTCCGGAGTCGTTCCATACTCGCGGTCTTACATGAAAAAATTATTCTCACACAGAGGGACTCGCAGCACGATGAGGCCAGTATCATGGCCTGTTTTTTATCCAATCAACAATCAGAAAACAGTTAAAACATTTAAAAGGAATCGGGTGGCCTTCCCTTATTTTTAACCTTCATCTTCCTGCATCTTTCTTTCATACAGCAATGAGCAGCTGTAAGTCGTCACCGACATTCAAAAATAAGGAATCAACTTTAAAATCCTTATTCACTTTTCTAAAATGCTCGTCAGGGAGAAAGACGAGCTCAAAAAATTAAAGATCTAGAGGTTGAAATGCAAAAGAAGTGAGGTTGAAGTCTTTAAATGTGCAGGCACCAACCTTCTTTTTTCTCCCCCGGGACTCCTGGGCAGAGCCTCGATCTCCATCTGTCCACAGGCAGAAGCAGCGACCGGGCTGACCACAGGCATGGCTGCCCATGCACTCCTGCCGGGGGTCACCTGGAGGAGCACAGAGCAAACAAGTTAAAGCTACACATCCACAAATATGGCTGAACGGATGATTAAACCTGGGGATATTAAAATGACTTCATTTGTTCTCTCAGTGATAACATCTAAACCTGATGTTGTGTTTCACTGCTCTTCTCTTTCCCCAGATAACAGTGGAGAAATTAAACAGTAGTTTTTCTCCTCACCTTTCTGTCTTTGCTGAAATTGACTCCGTTGCCTGAGGAAAGAGCCCTAAGAGAAAGAAACTGATTTTATTTGAAGAGCAAACAGCTCTGCTCAAGCATTCTTAATATAGCTTATTTGGTTTTACACTGCAAGTAACTGAAATGACAGACAAAAACAAAAAAGGCTAAGAACATTTAAGAAATAAGAATAAAGTTTTTAAGCCTTGCAAATTTGGGTGAGCGACCATCATTGGTGGCAAACTGTTCGTGGAGCTTCTGGCCTGCAGGCCAGGACACATGCAGCACATTTAGGAACAATGAAAACATAAAAGTTGTCTTAAATTATGACAAAGTTTTAATTTAACGTCTACCCTGAGGCAATTTGAAAACCCTCATACATAATTAAGACAGCAAGTCTTGGACACAGCTTTAAATAAAGGGCAGTCACACTGCAGACCTGTGTAATGAGCTGTAATGTAGTCTCATTTATCATAAATGCTTTGACTCAGCAGCTCAGTTCCCACGACAGCTTAAAGCTACAGCTGACATCACGTCTTAGCCCCCCC